GGTCCAATCCAGTAACAGGAAAATACCCAAAATACCCTCATGGATTACAAATGCCCAAAATCCAAGAAAAATAGAAGATGAAGCGTTTTGGCCAACACGGGCCGTGTCAGCTGACACGGGCGGCCGTGTTGGCTCCCTGTTACATTTGCACGAGAATTTTCTAAGTCCCAGGTGTGTTGACACGGGCGGCCATGTCAGCTCTCTGGTTTCTACCAAAATTTGCCTTTCTGAGCACTTCCTGACACGGGTCGTGTCAGGCTCCTGGTTCACTTCAAAACTCTTCTGAATTCTTGTTGTTTTTCCCGGTTTTTACTCTAATTCTCCTTTATTGTTTACCTGAACCTAGAAATCACAGGAAATACCAAAACAACTCGTAAAATACAATAAAAATGAGTGAAATGAAACTAAGCAATAAAAATAATCAACTAGAACTAATGGTAAAATCACGTATAAAAATCACTCATAAGTAGCGCCGACTTATTTTTTAACAAGGGATCTATTCAACCCCCTTCTAGATTCGTGCCATTGTCTAACAAGTGGTATCAGGAGCACCGGTTCACTCCGTGCTTCAAGTATAACTTAGTAGAAAATGACTAACGAACCTAAAAGGGCCTATAATAGAGCTCCTGTTTTTAATGGAGAAAATTATAGTTATTGGAAAGACTGTATGCGGGTGCACATTAATTCCATTGATAGGAAGGTGTGGAATGTTATTCTTAACGGTCCAATTGAAATAACTATGACCGATGAAAATAACATGATTGTGCCTAAGCCTGAGGCACAATGGACTGATAATTACGAGAAGAAATATAATTACGATTGGAAAGTCAAAAATATTTTGATCTCCTCATTAGGAGTTGATGAATATTATAGAGTTTCTCATTGTTTAACGACAAAAGCTATGTGGGACTCATTGCAAGTTGCCCATGAGGGAACCAATAATGTCAAGCTAGCGAGAATCAATACATTAACATAAGAGTTCGATCTCTTTCACATGGAGCAAGGGGAAACCATTGCAGACATGCAAAAGAGATTCACTCATCTCATCAATAGATTATACTCACTAGATAGGCCAGTTGCCAATGATGTTGCTACTAACAAAATTTTGAGATGTCTTAACAGGGAATGGCAACCGAAGGTAACCGCCATCGAAGAAGACAAAGATCTCACAATTTTGGATCTTACAACATTGTTTGGAAAGCTGCAAGAGCACCAACAAGTGCTTCTAAGCCTAGAGTTATATGAAAAGAAGGAAAAGAAGGATAAAATGAAAAACATTGAAAAGAAGTCTATTACTCTCAAGACTTCTTCCTCAAAATCCCAAACTAAAAAGCATAGTGATTACACTTCGAGTGATGACGAGGATGATGACAAGAGTGAGGATACGAGGTTGTTTGTAAAGCATTACAACCGCTATGTAAAAAAGAATGGTATCCAACACTTCGAGAAAAATCTTGTCAACTTTCGGAAACAATCAAGGTACTCTAGAAATGACGACACTAAAGGAAACAAGACAAAAGGGTCATGTTATACTTGCGGAAAGACCGAACACTACAAACCGGATTGTCCTTGAACAAAAAGGTAAAAGAAAAGGAAACAAGTAGATCACATAAGAAGCAATCTAAGCCAAGGAGAGCGTATATAGCTTGGGAAAGCGATAGCGAATCCTCCAAGGATGAAAGCTCAAGTGATGAAGATGAATCTGTCAATCTTTGTCTTTTCGCCCATCAAAAGAGCAAAAAGAAAAAGGTACGACATGCCAAGTATGAAAACTCCTCTAAAATGTCTCATTTTGAATTGCAAACTGCTTTTAATACTTTGCATTGTGAAGCAAAAGAAGCCTTTAAAAGGCTTGCCTCAAATAACCAAATATTTGCTCACCTAGAGCAAAAGATTCGTGATGCTGAAAAGAAACTAGAGGCATTGAAAGCTTCCATAGTGGAAAGTACAAAAGTAGGTTGTAAGGATCTAAGAAAAATAGTTGTTAACTTTGGGTGTGATACTTGTTACATTTGGCAAAATGAAGTTAGAAACCTAAATGCCAAACTTAACAAGGCTATAGAGCCCAAAATTACTTTTGTCATTGATAAAGCTAATTTTAGAAAGAGTATGGTTAATCCATATCAAAAATACGCATATGTTGTAAGAGATCATGATAGTAAAAGTAATTCAAAAATTAACTTTTCTTGCTTGTATTGTTGCAAGAAAGGCCACACCATTGCTAAATGCCGTTTTAGGAGATTTTTTGTTCCTAAAGGCATTTATCAATGGTTGCTTAAATGCGACCATCTTGTCACTCACAGCTTAGGACCCAATAAGTCATTGGGTACCTACTCTTGTTAATTATTTGGGTAATGTTAACTTGTGCCCTTGGGGCACATGTTAAAAATTAATTTTATACTTTAATTAAAGTTTATACACAATTTCCAAGACATTGTTTCTTAATTTAGTTTTTAATATGTGTCCCAAAGGTACAAGTTAACATTACCCATTAGATAATTACGTTTTTAGTTGAATACATTTTTATGTCTTTCTCTTAGTTCCATTCAAAAAGATTCAATTTATATATTTATTTATGTTTTAAAAAATAAGAAAAGAAAGAGAAAATAAAGAAGAAAAAAAATTAAAATAAAAGTGAAAAAGTGTAAGAAAGAAAAATGTGATTGAAATTTGAAAATTTAAAAAGTAATTGAACTACATGTCATGTTCTTGCTGATTTAGAATGAGAATAATAAATACACTAGGTTATTACTAAAAAGTCTGTAGTGTATCAACATTAAAAGATAATCTGGGGAATTTGAGAGTATCTTTCTTTAATGAATAGATACTTGATAAAAGATTTCATTTATATTTTTATTTATGCTTAGAACATCTTTAATACAAGTTTTTAATAAGATTTCATTTATATTTTTATTTATGCTTAGAACATCTTTAATACAAGTTTTTAATAGTTAAATTTTTTATATTTAATGATGATTATAAAGAATTTGTATTGGAATGATTATGACATGACATTTAATTCATTAATTTTTAGTTTCCAACAATTATATAACTAACGTATGCTATATAATTTGGGCCCACAAAAAATTTGCAATGAATATTTTATATATTTTATTTAAAATAATTAAATTAATAATAACTTTAATAAAAAAATAATTACAATTAAAAAATATAAAATATAGGATCAAGTTTTAGTTTTTTATAAGCAACTATCATTAAAGTAAAAACAACTCAAATCAACTATAAATTTTTTTAAAAAAATAAAAAAAATGCTCTTAGAAAAATAAAAAAGAAAAGAGAAAATAAAGAAAGAAAAAATTAAAATAAAAGTGAAAAGAATATAAGAAAAAAAAAATGAATGAAATTTGAAATTTAAGAAAGTAATTGAGCCACATGTGATGTTCTTGTTGATTTAGAATGAGAATAATACATACATTACATTATTACTAAAAAGTCCCTAATGTAGTGTAAATATTTTTAACATTAAAGAATAATATAAGACATTTGGTAGTATCTTTCTTTAATAGAGAGATAGTTGATAACATATTGAAGTACATAATTTTACTCTAAAAAGGATATAAATTGGCATTTATAATCTCAAAAAACAAAGGTTTGAAAAAATGCCTTGAAGAATTTCCCCATAAACCCTAGTGGCATTTGGGATAGCAGTTCTGGGCTGCAAAAATGGCCGCTACACCTGCTATTGTTGGTGGCGGCATAAGTGTTGCGATGAAGATGAACCTAACACCACTTCGACATATAAGTCTAAAATAGAGATGTTACACATTCAAATGCTTGAGTTACTCTAGTATTTGCTCATTTCTAATGAATCTTAAATCCTCAATTGTATTTCATAACCTAAAAACCCCAGACAGCACAGAGACAGAAATCTCACTCCACGCTTGCATATTGCAAAGCTGAAATGCTATAACACAACCACATTGAACACTAACAATATTTTTTGTTCATTTACACAAACACAACTTGAATAGAGAAGATCATTAAAGTAAAGCAGGCAAAGCTTCCAATAACAGTGGTGTAAACACCTTACTAACTCATATCAATCTCAATATGAAGTAAGCACTTAACACCATAGTGAAATACCCCTTTAGACTCTTTACTCTATTTATAAGAAACTTACAACTTCTCTTATACTCACTATCTATGAAGCACGGATATGCCGAATAAGACTTTGACACTGACAGACACAAGTAATAATTTGAAAAAATGATTAAATTAAACGTAATCATAAGTATCGGTGCAAGTGTCTAATACCGACACAGACACACTTTTTCTTAAAAGTGTCGGTGCTACATAGCTCACTATTCATCATTCACTCACAACAATCATTGCACAACAGTCCCTTAATTAATGGAATGCTCATGAAACCAATGACAAAGAAGAAAAAAGAAGCTAATAACTGATGCATCACTGCTCTTCAACCCTTTGATTATGAAAACACCAAACTAAGCATCCAACCATAATTTTACAAATTTACAAACAAACTAAAATGAATAGCAAATTATTGAGCTCCCGGTCGTCTTAGGTTTTTGGAGCCACGCTTCAATGGTGACACAATAAATAGGAGCCTTATTTAACTATGATTTATCCGTGACAAATTTTAGATATTGTGTTGCAGTCAGATAACCGTTTTCCTCCTCAACAAAGCTTGCTTACAGTTTTATAAATTCATATCCTAATGAAACTAACCTAAACACAAATAAAAGGAACTAACCTAAACACAAATAAAAGGGAACTTTTCATTTTGTTGAAGATTCCTCAAAAAATCACAATCCACTCATTTATTTCTAGAGACTCGTTTATTTCTAGAGATCATACAAGCAACAAATTGATTTGTTCCAACCTCAGTTACATATATATGACAATAAAGAACCAAAGAAATATGCAGTGATTCTTGAAATATTGAATGATAAATACACAAATTATTATTATAATTGTATTATATCATGGTAATGGCAAACCTAAAGTGAAGAAAAATATCAAAAATCAGAACAGCGACCATTCCGTTCCCAATCGCCGTACCTTGTGGGCTCAGGCCCTTTGGGCCCACCGACCTCGCCCGTTTCTTTGTTCAGATCAATTTCGTCGCCGTCATCTACTTCTTGTTCTTCTTGTTGTTGTTGTTCCTTTTGGCTTTGTTTAAGAGATTCTGGCGTCGGTGTATGTGGTTGATCCCTAACGGTGTTGTGGTTGTGGTGCTGAGTTGAGGAGGAGGAGAGGAGACGTGTCACTGAGTTGGAAACAGAACGAGCTAGGTGTTCGGATCCGGTGCGGAGGAGAGTAGGGTTGGATGCGGTGGAGAGCAAGCGAGGGAAAGAGGTAGTCATTTTGCGTTTGGGGATGGCGTTAGGCAGATGTTGGGAGAGAGACCTGAAATTTCGGACTGTAGATTGAAACCTTTTTCTTTTTTATATTGAATAAAAATGAAGTATTCCCCAAGAAATAAAAAATAAAACGGAAAAAAAATAAATAGAGAAATGTATTTAAACAATGGTATGGATTAATGTATTTTAAAGAAATTGAAAGTTATATTTCAAAATAAAAAGATACAAAGAAATTTTAAAAATAAATATCAAAAAATAATTTCTTTTATTCTACTTGTTGAAAATAATTAATCTTTAAACCAGAGTTAGACTATAATGTCACTGGTTATCTTAGAGACTTCGAACAAAAAATGGTGTATAAGTGAGAGGACTCATATACTCAATGCATCAAGACTTTAGGTAAATATGTGATGTCTCTCTCATTGGTTTTGGTGAATATTTGATCCAATGTAGATGATTTTCCTCATGATGATTCATCAGTGATATTATAGCTGATAGTTCGAATAAGTGACAAACTCCTTGTATCAAAAGTATTTCTGACATGGTGATGGTCAGGCGACGTGTCCTATTGAAACTCTCATGATGTGGCAAGGATGTCAACGATGATACAAGTGTATATGGATGAAAGAGTTTTCGCTTGAGGGAGAGTATAGTAGGTGAACTCACACTTGAGGGAGAGATTGTTGAGAAACAAGTGTGAGTTGTAAATCCACATTGCTTAAAAAAATAAAGGTTGAACATTATAAGTGAGAGAAACCATGTACCTAATATCCTATGGTTTTTGGTGAATATGTGGTGTCTTTGTCACATGCTTGAGTGAGTCTTTACCTCAATGTAAATGTTTTCCCTCATGACGATCCATCAGGAAAAAAATGCATGAGGAAACACATCCACAAAAGAAGAAAAAGAAGAAAAAATTCAAAAACAAAACTCATAAATTCATTATTCAACTTCTAATTTTTACAAAACAAAATTAAAAACTCTTTTATACTGTCGCTACGCGAAAAATACAGAGTCGCCACCGAACTTTATTTATTCCAAAAAAATGAAAAATATTGATAAAACCCTAAAAGATGAAAGAATATGGTCATCACAACGAAGAACGGATTCAGAAGTCGGTTGTGCAAGGGAAATATATTAGCACCCTTCACATCTGTTGTACTCAACAGGAACCGTTTGATTGTTCGCTGTACGAATGTGTGTTATTATCTAAAGGTTACTTGTGAAAGGGCAAAAGATAAGTTTGTAATTAATGTGCTCGCCAAGGATTCGAACCCTCGTGCCTACATATTCTCATAATGCAATGAGAAATCATAACTTCGTAGTTTATGGTAGAAAATAAGTGTTTGTTGGTTGATTTTATTGAACGATGTTAATGTTCGCGTTCTAGCAGTTAAACGTTGCTTATATGCTCACACATGAGAGACTTAAGTGTTTGTTTGTTTGTGGTAGAATGGATGCGTTTGGATCACATTCTAGCAGTTAAGCGTTGCTTGTATGCTTGCGCATGAGAGGCTTAAGTGTTGTTTGTATTGCGATAAAACGGAAATGACATGTTCTTTTTGAAAGAGTCTTGAATGCCCTAAAGCGAAAAATGAATTTGATTGATTGCGATTAATTTTAGATTTTGAAAAGATTTTCTTAATTTGAATTGAACTAAAGTCCATGAACGGAGGCGAATATTTTGAATAACTAGGGCCTACGTCCCGTATTCAAAGATACTCGGAATAAGGATATGAATAGTGTTGCACCCCAAAATTTGACCAACAATTATTTATTCACTGAGTGTTTGAAAGGTGATACCTTCATCAGAAAGTTCAAGAGATCCTCAGAGGAATTGGTGGAAACCAGGGTTGTGTGCTTCATAGCTTGAGAGTTGTGGGTGCTCCTCAGATGATTCTGAGACTTTGAGAATGAACTAGATGTTTTGAGAAAGCCTATGAGATGTCTTGATAGCCATCATGAAGCCCAGAGAGGTCATTATGCAAGAATTCAGAAGATTCAACCATGAGTGGTAGAATTAGGGTTTTGACTGGGTCAACCCTAGGGTAACTGAAAATTTGGAGAAGGTTGAGACCTAATCCAAGGGCCATGAGATCATGGAATGATGCATAGAGATGTTATAAAGATGATTCCTAGACCAACTCATCATGATTGAGGGGTTTGAGAAGTTTCAAGTCAGGGTTTCCAAGGATTGTCAGTGAAAAAACCCTAATTTGATCCCTATCTTCCAGGCAGTTTTAGCTCTAGATGTGATTGATATCTCATCTTCCCCACAACATGAATGTTGTAGAGCTTGTTCTTAGATTTAATTTGAGTGGTGGAAGTCCTTGATAGGAGTTGCAGAGCTCAAGTTATGGTTTTGACAAATTACAGGTCAGCAGAGGTGTGTGAATCTGGGTCCTTGAAAGTCACCCAGCTTGCAGACAACTTTTGCCCTAGTAGGATGATTCCTATGATTTCTTGGTCAACATGAATGTTGAAGAGCATCTTCTTAGCTTTAATTTTAGTGGTAGAAGTCCTTTATAGGATTTGTGGAACTCAACTTATGGTTTGAACAAGACAGGGGTATTTTGGTCATTTGTCAGTTATAGGTCATTTTTAAGCAAAGGCCATATCTCCTATTTCCAAGCCTCAAATGGAAAAACTCAAAACATGAAAGTTGTTCAAAATGTGATTTTAAGTCTAGAAAGAAGGTCATGAATTGTTGGAAAATCTCATAGCATGGATTTGCATGATTGGTCAAAAATGAACTAAAAATGGCTTATAAGTTTAAAAAGTTGAAATTGGAAATTGGTTTGGAAGATCTAGGAATCCAAAATTGGTCATCCAATATATCATTTTGATTGGAAATATCATTTTGAAGACAATGGTTTTAACACATTTTTCATTTGAAGCCTAAAAATGGATGTTGCTTTGTAATATGGAAACTTGCATTATAAGGCAACTTGAGAAATCTTAACACAAGGCAAAACCAAGGCTTGTAATTGTGCACTCCTTCTCAATATCTCATGTAAGGATATTTTAAGACCACATTGCAAGGAATAAGGCATGAGATGTGAGATTTTCAACTTGTCCCCACATGAGATTTTCAAGAACTTTCCACCATATTCTAGATGAATCTAGAAGTGTCTAATGATCATTATATAAAGGAGGCATCATAGATTGGTCAGGGTTGGTGATAGTTAATGGTGAGTGGTGAGATTAGAGTGCAAAAAGAGTGAAGCATTCTATTTGCAAAAGCATAACAAACTCCATTTCTCTTCCCTCTCCATTCGAGCTCTCTTCACAAACACTCCCTTCTGATCACTGTGAGCAATTGCATACCAAGAGTGAGGTGAATCCATGGTGTTTTGAAGGTGCAAGATCCAAGTTGCAAGAAGAGAAAATTGACATCAAGCTCAAAATTCAAGCAGTATCCTTCAAGAATTTTGCAAACAGAAACTCCAGCATCAATCAAGGATCACTTTTGGTGATTAACAAGTTTTGAATTGGGGTGAAACCATTGCTGCCATCATCAACTTGCAGGTATGCGTTTTCATTCGTGCACCTTTAATCATGGCGATTTAGTTGATTTCTTTAGTATAGAAAGGCTAAGCTAGGGTAGTAGATCATGTATGAGAACTGTTGGAGCTAATAGTGAAGGTTAGGGTTAGGGCAGTGAATTTTTCTTGGCATAGAACTCTTAATCTAGGGCACGATAATACTAGTTCTTGTGCTTAGAATGCTCACCATAATGCATAGATTACAATGGTACAGGTTTCAGCAAGAGTTATTACCATGCATATCAGGTGAATTTGAGTTGTGCCCAGAACTTGCACCTATCGAGTTTAATTATGGAGGGACTTTTAAGAGAAACTGAAACCATAGTCTTGTAGAGGGCATTGAGTAGATTAATTTTGCTCTTTGGATCGTGGTGTTTGGTTGAGGGAGGAGTGAGAACGAGATGCTGGAAAATCTGTGCATGAACTCGCTAAAACCAGAAACCCTAATTCGTTTTGGGGACGATGAGCTGCGTCCGTTGGATCTTGGTCAAGCATTTGACTTTGAGAAGGATCGTGTGGCTGTCATTTAATTGAAAGCGGAGGGAAAAAATTCAAAATCAAAACGCCGTCGTTTTGATTAGTGAGTCCGTGTGGGCTCGGATCTCTTTTCTATGCGCACCCCCCCTTTTTTCAGCCCATTATGAAACCAACTAGCGAGTGTTGCTATTTTCACCCCCCTCCCCTTTATTTTGTTTTCTTTTATTTTTTATACTTTTAATATTTTCTTGTTCTTTAAAAATTCATAAAAAATAGAGAATTTAACATTTTTTAATTCTTCTTTTTCCTATATGTTAATAAATCTGTCTAGAAAATTCTAAATAAATAAAATGTCCATTTTATTTTCTTTTCATATTTTTAATAGATTTTTCTTTTAAATAGCTTTTATAATGCTTAGTTTGATATCATGATTTTGTAGAATTTCTTTTAGGACCTTCCCTTAGGGTTTTTAACTCATTCTTTTTTGTGTAATTAGATATTGAATCATAGTTCCCCATAGGATTTATTTCTAGATTTTTAGATTAAAATTTGATTAGTTTGGTTAGGGTAGCTTTAGGGTATCCTAATTAGGGTTTAGGTTGTGCATAGGTAAAGAAATCATTTTCTTTAGATAGTTTTGTTTGATTTTTGGGGAGGGGCATATGTGGATGTCATGGGTAGATGTTGTAGACCATTGTGAATAATTGATAGATTTTTCCCCCTTGGTTTAGTATTTTTAGGTATTTTCTGAGTTAGCTGATGATTTTGTCTGTTCAGTGGTTATCTGTTCATCTCTGGGGTTTGTTTTGGGGAATTTGTTGTGGGGCTTGTGTTGTCTTGAAGATCTTGTTGGAGAGCATGATGAAGTGAAGATTGTAGATCAAGTTTCATGAGATCCAGAGCTTGGCTTATCCCCTGTCTGTGAGGTTTGAGATCCTGAAGTTTGAAGGAAGTTCATGGTACTTTCCTGAGGAAGGCACT